CCCAGTGCTAATTCTTTTGAATGTGGCATAATCTAGCATAGTTGACAGTTTAGATTTAAGAAAGGCCAAAGGCTTCAATAGGAGGCATGTTGCAGATCAAGAAAGAAACACTAGCAGGTCGGAAAGAGGGTATGCGAACAGGTGCTTGTTTTAATTATATACAGTTTCATACATGGCAACTAAAAATACTAACTTGAAAGTAAACAACTAAAGTCTCTTTGTTCTTCACCAATCTGTCAGATATTTGGACATGAGGATAGTTTATAGGCTATGTCTGGGCTAGATATGTAACACTGCATTTGAAAACTGCTTGTGTGTAAACAGACTATTTACATAAACTAAACAAGTCTGTTTGACACCATTTACAGATATATGGCAAAATATGGTTCCTACATCACAGAATTTACAGTCTCAATCTAGATTATTACTGATTAGGGAAGACTGTTTATCTCTGAACACAATGAATTTGGACTGCAGTGTGAAATATGTAGTCAAACAACACAGATTTTTAAGAGATGAAAAGTTTATTTAAAAACCCGCCAACATTTAGCAAAAAACAATTTTACACTATTTTCAATTTTCTACAGAAATACAATAATTTATAGCTGCGCTTAGTATATTCTCTCGCTAGTACATATAAAAACAAGTCTACAGATAAATACGTGGAAAATTCATTCTGCCAGCCACTACCACTAAAATTGTACCTGTAATTTTGGAAGACATCTGCATAGGATGGGTTAGAATTCCATGGGTGGTATTTAATATATTTTTGTACTACTGCGATAATGTTTAAAAAAAATTATATATAATTAGCATGCAATACAAAATAGCTGAGAAAAAACAAGATATAATTTAGTGTTCAGAACTGGAAAACAATGGTCGGATACTGTCTTATGTTTCTAACCAGACATCATTTTACATAGTTTAGAATTTCAACTTCTCTTCACAACAAAGCTCAATGTATAAGGGATCTGAATTTATAAGGAATTAAAATTTATACCCAATGGGATCCTCTTACATGTAGAACACATGAAGAAGGTGTGTTGGGGCTAACCGCAGTGGAAGAAATTATCCATTACTAGATTCTTACAGTTTGATTCAAGTTCTCAAATGAACTTGAAGTAGCTACACTTAAAAAAGAAAATCACCACTGTTACCTAATTGAGTGATTATGAGATGACAAGTACAAAGACATCTGTGCAGTTTATTATTGCACCATAAAATTAAATATTTACTGTGCACTTTAAGAACAGTAAAACTAAAGCCAATCAACATTTGCTAAAATCCCCAGCAGCCAAGATAAAATCAAAGGTATCTAATGCCCAGGACCCTCTATACATCCAACTTCCCACAGCATGCATTTAACATTGAACTCGGATGTCAAGCTTTATGCAGTCCATGAATAATACGGTCTTAAAACTAGGTTTAAGACTCATACTGCATCTTACTCTAAGATTCACACACATGCATACACCACATTTCAGTTTCTTAACACTGATGTCCACAGTGAACTCTACCATATGCCTAGCAGCAGAATGTGACATCAGAGTATCCCTAAAGAAGAAGTTTGGCAAGATGTCAGATACAACTAGCAACTACTGTCCTAAAGATACTTATTACTGTTTTTAGCTCAGATTTTCAAATTACTCCCCTTTCCCTCTTGGCAATCCCAGGGCAATTGTCAAAAACCCTTTCTCTGCTATTAAAAACTAACAAAATTTAGTTGCTTCTACAGCTGTTGCATACGGGAAGCTTCCAGTACCCCAATCCCTCTCCAGTTGTCTTTTAAGAACGATAAGAACTAGCAACCTTAATTTTTTTCCTTAAGGATTTTACAAACTGATAAATACCACACCAGGAACAATACTGTTTTCCATGAGAGCCTGGTTTACGATCATGCATAAAACAATTCACTTAAGACAGCTGAGACATTTATAATGCATCACATTAAACATTTTACTGTCACTATCAGGTAATGGTTTATCATCTTTTATCTCCAGTATGGGCCCAACCCTGCACCATTAAAGTCAATGGGAGTTTTGCCATTGGCTTTAAACAGGTACAGGAACAGGTCCTATTTGCAGTAACAGATTAAGGACCAGATCCTGCCATCCGTATTCACATGACTGAAGTTTTGCAGGATCAGGCCTAATATAGCTTTTATCCAGTTATTACGAACCCTTAAAAAGGCCTCAAGTTTAATAATGAACCCAAAAGTTACATGTACCAACACTGCACTTACACATTTACAATTTCTTTCAGATCCTCCCAGTCTCCCTTTTCAGCAGCCAAGGATGGGAAGGCTCCAAAAAGATTTTCAGAAGGTACTTAACATTTTCCTAAAACCAGGCCCTTTTAAAGGAAGTTCTCAAGCTCAGTACCTAAAAATGGAGGCATCCAAAATCATCGGCACTTTTGAAAATCTTGTCCAATGTGTTTTGTTTTGTTTTTTTTAAAAAAAGCACCCATTAGAAAATAGCAAAAACTAAGAAGTACAGCACCCAAAGATACTGTTTCATGGATGTATTCAATCACTCACAGTAACTACTTAGTTGCCTTTCCTCCACAAGAGGAAGCAGAGGGGATTATGCAAGAGAGTTTGTAACCACAGATCTTGAAGCATCTCATTCACAACATGCCTCTCTTGGAATGCTCTCCAGGCGTGCTCTTTGGGATTCCAGGTCAACAGATGGGGGAGGCTTGCCAGAAGTCCACCAGATTCACCCATCCAAACCTCAGAGCCCAGTCTGCAGTAATTTATGCTCTTTGCCCCTGCCTTCACAGTTTGGAACAATCTCCCAGGGCATCCAAGGTTGGCAGTGCCCTTATAAACAGCTCCTGTAGAAGCTGTGCTGTTCAGGAACTTGTGGAAGTGAGATGGGTGAGACAGCAGTGGCAAAAGAAGGAATCTCTGAGAATGCCCTTTACCTTCAGCAATCCCTGAAGTTGGCAGAGATCTTGGAAGATTTACTGGCATGGTGGAACCCCCAGTTTCTTCTGCAGGGCAGCAAACAGCCCCTATGGAAGAACTGCCATTCACAAAGCCTCAAGTACCTTATCCAAGAATAACCCAAATGTAGGAGAGTTGGGCCCTTCATTACAAGAAGGGATTTATGCTGGGCACAACAGTCTTCTCTTCCTAGTTACTGTAGCGCACATATCATGGATTATTTATTCACAACTGGCTTCTTACTTCTGACCGTGTTCAAGGAATCTCTCTCTTTACTGATCTACAGTGGTATTCTCTTAAAGGAATTTATCTTGTAATAAAAAGGTAAGCGCTGGAGGAAAAATTACCTTTTTACATTTATTATTCTGTGTAACACTAACAATTTATGTGCATTGTTTTATTCCCACCATCATACTATTTAAACTGTTTTGTCACCATGTATTCCTAGTGCCATCAACCTTATTTTTAATCTAATTTATCTGCACCAAACAATCAATGTGCAGAGTATTTAAGACAATGATAGTTGTATATCCAACAAATATGAAAGTTTCTGATAAAATGCAATCTTTTGGCTAAAAGTTGCTTACATAAAAGAACAGTATTTTTTCTAATGATATGACGGAAAAAAATTCACTTTTATGGCTATCTCTCTCTCCTAATTAGGTTAAAATTTTGTGAGATCAAAGTGATCGCTTTGCTTTATAAAATTATACAGCAGTTCACACAGGTACTACAATACTGACCTACATATCTGCAGTACCACAGATTCCATTGTTACCTAAAACCATCTCTCATTTTTCAACATTCCCAAGCACACTGTTACAAAATGGGAACACTGCATTAAATGTAGCCACTTCACAAAGTAAAAACCTAGACAAATGGGAATGGTCGCAATATGTATTTTTTGCCTTGTAAGAAACACTTTTTCTTCTGATATTTTATGTCACTTATGACACTTGAAATACTAGACAATGAGAATCTATACTATATATTTATCTATTCATAATGCGTCTGTATAGGAAACCAATCCGCAGTATCTAGGCACTAACATTCACATCTCATGTGAACGGTTAACAGTCTTCCAAGAAAACCTACCTTGCCTCACTTTAATCCTATTCATTCAGAAAATTCAATGTGCACAATATACAGATATGTTAGTGTTTTTTTTTTTTAAACCATCTATTTACTAGGATTATGAGCAGGTTCCATACAGTACAGATAAAAATGCTTGAACAAACAGTTTTCTGTAAAGAGTTCTGCTCTTTAGTCAAGCTGTAAGGTACATAAACATACAATGTCTAACTGATAAATAAAAATCTTTTGCCTCACAAAACAGGTTTGATTCTAGTGTTCAGAGTCAAAGCGGGGTTTAGAAAAGTCAAAATATATATGTCAACAGATACAAAATAGACACATTTACCCTGGTTTCCTAAAGCCTGGCCCTGTGAGGTGCTGAGTGCCTTCAACTCCCGTTCACATCAATGGGACATGAGTGCACTTGGGAGCTACACAAGAGGTACCCAGCAACTTTCAGGATCAGGCCCACAGTTTCCTGATAAATCACTACAGCAAGTTAAGATACAGAGTAAAGTTTGTGTACAGAAAGTGAATATTGGGGGCAAATGGGAAAGGCAGGCCTAAAGCAGGTACCTAGCTACAGTTTTAGCTAGTGACTATATACAATACTATTCTAGACTGAAAGTGTTAAGAGCTAGTTCTACGTTTATCGCTTATGCTTTTTATTAACCATTGACTATAAACTGTAAAAATGTGCCCTAATTCACAAAAATAATCTATGCCCTGAGAAATAACGTTACACACTAAGTAAAAGCCAAAAGGAAATATCAGGTTTATAATCACTGACCGTAGTAACATTTTGAAAGCATAAACTGACTACAAAGAATTTTCTTGGAAGCACTAGTTTCTTCCATTTGACTGCAATACAGTGCTCTGTCAGAGGAAATAGTTGATGAGAGTCTATGCAAATTATATAGTTTTCCAACTTTCAAAACTACTTGAGTTATTCTATTTTCTCTAGATTTGTTTAGCTAAAAAAAAAACAAACAAACAACCAAAAAAAGCCCCCAAAACTCTTAAGGGAAACTAAATAACCTAACAGATAAAGCTTTTGCTTTTCACCTCTGAAATGAGGATCTGGGTTTAGCCTGAGCTTCTGAATGAGCCTGATGAACACCACTTAAGGGCACTATCAGAGCATTTTGGGAGGTAGTCAAAGTTATCCTTATGTTAAATGAGGCCACCTCCCCATAGCTTCCTTACATTCTTTGTTAGTTGGGGAAAAAGGGACAAGCAGTTCAGAATGAACCATTCTCTGAGCACAATGGGAAAGAGAAGGAAAACCACTGTAGAGAATACAATGGCCTTGTTTTGTTACTAAACTGCATTTTAAGAGCATTTGAAAATGATGGGGGTTTTCTTCTGATAAGACTAAGTTGTAAGGAAAGAACCTCAAATAAAGGGGAAAATAGCAAACATGCTAGTCACATCTGCCTTTCACTCCATTGATCTCAAGGTCTCTGTAGAACAGGGGTTCTCAAACTGGGGGTCGTGACCCCACAGAGGGTTGCAAAGTGGTTATATGGGGATCCTGAGCTGTCAGCTCCATGAGGCTGAGAATCCTGAGCCCTCAATAAATTAAATTACCCCCCACCCCTATTCTTAATTTATAAGGGGGAGGTGTCACACCCCGAGGCTTGCTGTGTAAAAAGGCTCACCGATACAAAAAGTTTGAAAACCACTGCTGTAGATGATGTGAGTCTGACAGTTTATTTTTTAAATTATAGTATAAAGGACCAAAGAGCTCAGGATCACTTCTGTAATGTGGAAGCAGCACTACAGGCTTATAAGGGAAAAAAAGGCCTTGTCCAGAAGTTTGATCATGAAATCCCTGCAACCCAAATGTTAAATTATCTGACAATTGCTGTACTTTGTTCATTTTTAAAATACACATTCTTAAGAGATTTGATTGCTGGATTTGATTGTCTAGACAAGGCCTCTTCAAGACCCTTTGATTCTGGTTGTCAAGATTATACAGTACTGTTTAAAGATTCATTGAATGACTTACTTTAAGGTAAAGAGTGAAAAAGTACTCCTATGCATAAATTTCTAACACAAAACACTGAAATGCTTTAGCTAGTTTCAGTTGAAAAAACAGAATCCAAACTTTCTTACTGTTAATTCTTCACTATGCTCTTTTATTTTATAAACCAGTGCTATATAAGGTAGCTATATAACTAGTCATAAATTACTCATTGGACTGAAAATTCAATTGTCCCCTATTAAAACAATGAAAATATTTCTAAGATTATAAGCATTCAGCCAAGCACTGTAGTCATCCATCACTACAGTCAGTCATCAATATGTTTTGCCCTACTGATTACACCAGAAAAAACAATTGCTGATGCAATACTAGGTAATGCACATTACAGCAGAGAACACTACACATCATTTAAAAATGTGATTGTTCATTTTGACTTGATTGAAAATGAAATTAACCACTTTTAGAGTTCCAAATGACATTCATTTCTCAAAGCCTTCAATTCATCTTCAGTGCAAAGATGTTGCTATAAGACTGAGTCAGTGCACGAAAAAGATTTGTACCAATGTAAATGCCATATAATACAATAAAGGACAGAATTAACAGTTACTGAAACTTAAAAAGGACACTGACAGTTTACTGCTGGATAAAGCCGGATTTATCTCTGTATTACTCATTCTTATGATTCTTTTAAAGGGTAAGTGTTTGGTGCTGCATGGCTGCAGTCAGGTGTTTCACCAAGCAAAACCCTCATTAAATTATTGAGTTAGAATGTTCTGACCTATGACACAGTAAATGCCGAATACAGTGTTACTTAATACTGAAGAGCTGTGCTCAGTAACTTTTATGTATGTTAATCACCAATGGCCTGAAGTCTAATAATTTTTACTGCTATTTATTGTATTCCTCCTTCCCCCAATTAGGACTTTAGGGAAACCAGTCAAACTAAATTAAGTGGTCATGTTTGTGAAAGTTCATGGTTACAAGACATCACAAAATTCTAAATTTGAAAATATACTCCCAAGGAATTACTTTAACCACTTCAGACAAAAGGCTAAGGGGCACTGACATCTTAAACAAATATTTTTAAAGTGAATATATTTCCTTTTTCTATGTTTTTACCACCACCCTAGGTTTTCAAGATGAAAAGAAGTTTTAAAAATGTATTTTCTTTTCACTGTGATACTGTTGGTTTAGTTTTTAGATTTCTCTCAACTTGGAAAAAATGCAACTCATTGAAGTCAATTTCACTTTTGCCTATAGTTTCCCCACCCACCAACCCAACATTGGGTCCTCAATACTGCAAGGTTTGTGTAATGCAAACCTGCAGGAAATGGTTATTTTGTTTACTAATGTAATTGTTTTCTTTGGAATTTTAAAGCAATCATGGAAATATTTTCATCAGACTTACACTTTCTGAAAAAAAAGTTAAAAAAAAAATCTACAATTTCAGTTGACAGTATCCCTTTAAAACTTTTAAAAAAAACCCACCACAACAAAAAAACAACAACACTTTACTCCAAGACCTATTGGAGCACCTTTAAGGTGTGAAAATGCATATAGTTCTATAAGGACCAAATTCTGTCTTCATACACATTTGCATAATTCCCAGTGACATCAAAAAGGAGTTGCACACAAGTATCAAAGGACAGAGTTTGACCTTAAGTGTTTATGATGATGGAAGGGCTGTCAAATTCAAGATCAGAATATTTCCACTATATAGCTCTAGGGAGCTAACTGAGACTTCAGTCCAACATAAATTTATAATGGATTTCAACTTATGTTCTATCACCCACACTTGATAGTCTCTCCCCCGCCCCCTCAAATCTTACACTATGGTACAAGCAGAAGACTGCATTCTCCCCGATAATAAATTTCTACTTCACAAGGCACAAATTCTCCTTACTTTTCACCCTCCTTCAATACCTTTCTATTAAACAGGTAATCTGTGAAAAGATAAAACTGAAAGAGATAAAATTAAGGACTTTAAATGTAATTTTAGGATTGACAATATAATCTGTAATAAACTACAGGGGTAGGCAGTGTCACACTTTCTGGGCACCCAGCAGTCACCAAGTGTCTCTATGAACTTATTGTAGCCACAGAGTAGCTATGAACAGAAGCTCCAAGTCATAGGAGGCAGCAATCTCTGCAGAGTTTAAAAATACAGGAGGAGTTTAAATTTAGAGACCTTGTTTAAACAATGCTTGCTGTTTCCTGAATGACCATATTGGTTGACCTTTTCTCAGAAGGTCATTAAATTCAATCACATCGCTAAAGCCAAACATACCATACAAGGGGTCTATTTCCCCTTTGACATGCAAGAGTAACTCCAACAATGGGAGACTCAAAAGGGACATGGGACCACAGGAATCCTGTATATTCCCAGTGCTTTTCTACTGCTCATAGTATTCTTTGAGCAGCAAGAGCAGCAGCATGTTGGGGAAGCACTTGATGCAAGGCAAGACAAACAAACACAGGGTTTGTGGCAAAGGATCTCTCCTGAAGCTATGGATCCTCTTAACTAGTCTGCTCTGTTTGAAACAGGGGGTAAAAAGTTGCCTTAGTGCAAAGGTTCACTTTACACTGGCATATGCTTCTATGCGAGGGCTTTGCACTGGCAAGATTACACTGATGTAGCTACACTGGTACAGAAGTCCGTCATGTAGAGTAAAGTTCTGAGAAAATGCCAGTACAAGTATTTATACATAGCTGCATTGGTAGCCAAAAGGAAAGTCAGGATCAAAACTACCCTGAAACTGTTTAAATTGTCCTTCCAGCACACATACACTTGAGGGGTTGAATGGGAAAAGGTGCTCTGACAGAGAAGAAAAATGAAATTGATGCCCTGCTTTGTGGGAGGAAGCAATGCACAAGCATGGAGGGGAAGAGACCCTGCACATTTTAAACAGTACTAAAACTGTCAGCATAACTCCTTTTTATCCCATCATCTAAGATATTCGTATGTTCTTAGTTTTTCTATACTTTTTAAAGTGTGATTTAGTGGGCTTTGTGGGACTCTGTAGTGTACATAATACATTCAGAAATTTAAATAGTGTTTCTAACTCTGGCTTATTGAGGTAAAAAATAAAAAGTATGACATAAGTGAAAAAACTTTGCTAATAAATCCTGCACACTTAGCTTTAACCATACTTCTTCACTGTGTGTGAGAAACATGGTTCATTTTCCTGCCTCCTCCAGTGGGTATCTGACTTGACAAGGTAAATTTAGTAGGCTTTGATATCAACCATGTACAACAGATGTGTGAGGCAAATAAAAGACCACAGACAATAGCAAAAAGCACAATTCCAGTACTGTAGTAATATTCGCCCTTACAAATAATGAAAAGGGGAACTGAAGGCAGAAACACTGCAGCCTGATCTTTGACAGATAGACAGCAATTCAGAAGTAATAATTCTTATTGAAAAACCTGACTCCACCGGCTTTGGTTAAGAGTCATTACCAGCATTCACTGTGGTAGAGAAGAATAATTTGGAAGGTGGTTCATGTTACAATGAAAAATCCACCTATTTGTTTTCCAGACATTCCATTTGGATCAAAATTTTAAACTTTAAAAAACAAAAGCCCCATTGTTCATAGTTAGGGCCCTAACAAATTCATGGTTCATTTTGGTCACTTTCAGTCATAGGATTTTAAAAATCATAAATTTCATGACTTCAACTGTTTAAATCTGAAATTTCACGGGGTGTTGTAATTGTAGGGGTCCGACCCAAAAAGGAGTTGCAGGGAGGGGACCGCAAGGTTATTGTAGGGGGGTCTGCGGTACTGCTACCCTTACTTCTGCGCTGCTGCTGGCAGCGGTGCTGCCTTCAGAGCTGAGCAGCTGGAGCGCGGTGGCTGCTGACTAGGAGCCCAGCTCCGAAGGCAGCAGTGCAGAAGAAAGGATGGCATGGTATGGTGTTGCCACCCTTCTGCACTGCTGTTGGCAGGCTGCTGCCTTCAGAGCTGGGCGCCCGGCCAAGACCCACCACTCTCCAGCTGCCCAGCTCTGAAGGCAGCACAGAAGTAAGGGTGGCAATACCGTGATCATCCTAAAATAACCTTGGGACTCCCCTGCAACTCCCTTTTGAGTCAGGACCCCCAATTTGAGAAACGCTGGTGTCCTCCGTGAAATCTGTATAGTATAGGGTAAAAGCACACAAGAGATCAGATTTCATGGTGTGTGACGCATTTTTCATGGGCGTGAATTTGGTAGGACCCTATTCGTAGTCCATGTTAAAATAAAAAAAAAGTTTAAGTAGGACAATGGTATGATATGAAGATGCCACAAGTAAAAATATAAATTGTTAATTTTTTAAAAAAGGATTAAAGAAAAAAAGCAAACTACATTTGTTTAATAAAAAGCTATGCCAGATTTTTTTTTAATAAATAAAATGAAATATTACTTTGTATATGAATTTTAGCACTGACCACAAAGAAAGGTGAGAAGCACATGGGTAGCCAACACTTGCAACCATGACATGCATGTGTTTGATAAGAGAATATTGCACTAAAAGAGGAACCCTGAAGGTTGTAAACTTCCTTCATGGACCTAGAAAAGTAACTAGCCATTTCCTGTATGCAGTAGCAAACCTGGCCTGCTCTACATCTCTGCAAGTTGCTAAAATGTTATCAATGAACCTGTATTCCATTTCCAAGCCAAGAGAGTCCTGTATAGGGGCACGCTTCAGGCGTTTGATTTCTTGAGTATAGCCTTGTTTGCCTGAATCATTTAAACCATCAACATCCATGGCATGAGTCACATGACTGACTGCTGTACTGGGGTGTGAATTATTCAAAGTTCCATCACTGCTGTCCACAGATGTCAACCGTACATTTGGAAGAGGAAGTTTGTTGTTTAAATGGTGCTGAAGATAGAACACATGCCGTCTTCAAAGAAGATCAGGGGAGGGAAAAAAAAAAAAAGTTACACACTAAAAAATAAAATAAAATCAAGCTGCTGCCACAACTAAAGATATTAAAGTAATTGAAATTACATTTCAATATGCCCTCTGAGCAAACCCCACCCCAAAAATCAGCTTATTTTGCAAAGGTGGGAAAAAAGGGATGATTTCCTGTTAGGCAATGGAATATGAAGCCTTTCACTTCTCTATGATTGATCTAAATAGTAACCAAAAATTATTACCGTTCAACAGCTGGTACTTGACATACCTCTCAGCTGAGTGGGTAGCTTCATGTCACTTCCTTGTGATGCAAACATCAGAGCACTATAACCACCATCACAATTGACATTTTGAGCAACAAGCTCAGCAGACTTCAAGCACTGAGAATTCAGACCGAGTTCCTTAAGTCCAGGTGGAAATACATGCTTCCTTTCATTGCCCATGCAGTGTTCTGTTGCTGCCCATGTTGTACCCATCCCCAAGTTAAAACAGAAGACTTCTGTCTCCAGGAGACTTCTGTTAATCTAGTATCTTCACTAGCATCACTTACCAAACCCCACAGTAGGTGTGCACTTGTAACCAATCAATCAGTGCACGTGTTCCACTCTGTGCCAGATCCACAGAGGATATGGGTCTCTCATAACTTTCAGCTAGAGATCCCGATTCTTCAGCTCAAGCAATAAAAAGTCATGCTTTCAGGTCAGAGGTTCCCAGCTCAAAACACTAATGTCAGGATGGAGGTTGTCACAAACATAAGCAGGGATTTATTTTGGAGAAATGTCAACACATACACAGTAACTTTTTTCAACAATTTTCCATATTTTCAGTGCAATATGAATGTGATCTCTTCCATTAAATTGATGGAGGAAACTATTTAGTTTTTTTTAAAAACAACGATTTTAGTGTTCATGACAGGTGCCAGATCAGTAGCTGCAGTGCAAGCTATCCTAATTGTCCTACCAATGTGCCTCAACACTGTCTTGTTTCATTTTGTGACTTCTGAGCTTTTAAAATGAGCAGTGCACTACCGATAAGGGGGGGAGGAGGGGACGCCAAAAAATAAATCAGTCAACAACAATTTTTGCTAAACTTTTGAAGCTTTCAGAAAGGTTTTGGTTCTCCTGGGTTTCAAAATAGCAATATTTGAAAAGTGAAAAATTGGTCTATTACCACATTTGTCTGCATTTTCAAAAAATAAGATTTTCTAAAATAAAATTCTTTGAAGTCCAGCTCTTCAATTTGGAAAAATCCCACGATGACTATGCTGACCTGTCAGCAATAGGTGAAAAGAAAAAAATACAAAACCCAAAATGAAAGATTTCTTGAAATTTTCTATTCATCCAAGTCAAAACTGCCACAAAAGTTTCCATTAAAAAATGCATACACTTAGTATAAAAAAAAAAAATCATACCAGCTGTATTCACTTAGTATTGGAACAACCTGAATGTTGACAGTGTGAAATCCTGGCCCAACTGAGGTCAATGGAAAAATTCTCATGGATTTCAGTGGGGCCAGGATTTCACCCAATGTTTATGGGAACTGACATGTCACTAAATGTCAGGGAAACCATAAAGTGCTGTAATTTGGATTTCTTGAGTAGGTGAAAGCGTTCAAATAAGTTTTTGCTACTTTTTGCTCCTACCAGCCAGCACTTTTAAGAAAGAGTGAACTGAATTCCACTCCCTCTTTTGTATCATCGAGAGAATGGTTTACCACATTCTAATTACAGTGCCAATCAGTTACATCTGTACTAACACACTGAAGGCAATGGAGTTGCACAACTGTTACCAAAAGGCAGAATATAGTGATGCTGTGTAAGACGACCCCTTTTGGACATTCAGATCCCACATTTAGTCTGCAGGGTTGTAAGTTTAAATAAAGACTTTTTCTAACCTAAAACATTTGATATAAATAATGGAAAGCAAACATGGAACGCTAAGATACCACTTTTACAGTCCCAGATCAGAGTAGAACCAAACTTGAACTTAAGAACGAAGAAAAGGGGCAATTATTCAACTAAAGTTAGTTTTCAGAGCCAACTTACTCAGTGTGCCTTTGACTACACTGTTTTTTTATCTAGCCACACACATTTGGAGACTCTGTGCAGTTAATTCATCTTTTGTCCTTCAAATGTAAGGAGTGAGGAAATGCTGTCCTATTGAAGGATGTGTATAACTTATTTCAACAAGATACTGAAGTCCAGTCAGGTTTTCTATTTAATAGCTCTGATAGGTGTGGAAATCAAAAATCAAAGGCTTAGCATAGGGCAGGAAACTAGTCTTTACTAACCAAGATGTGTCTTTAATCAGAATTACAATTTGCCCTTTGACTTCAGTTTCAAAGCAATAAAATCATTCCAAGGGATGTTTTATTTGATAAGCCCTCTTACCTGTAACACCACAGCGTTTCATGCCCAGGGAAGGTATCAATAAGATCAGTGCAGAGCTCCAGCTCTTCCTCTAGAAGATGGGGGAGATCTACTCTCAGTTCTTCTGTACAGACAGCTTCAGATGCTTCATTTTTTTCATCCTTTGGAAGACTGGGGATTGGCTCATTTACCAGCTGATTTTGCACCAGTATAGAATTGTCGGTCACAGTTCTGCCAATCAAGGACTTTATTAAGAACTTGCGGTAGTGGAATCCACTATGGTCTGAAACATGCATGGACACCCAATGTTTAGTGGAAGAAAGTTCATCAAGGAGAATCTGAAAATAAGTAGCAGTAAAATTAACCAATCCATAGAAATAAGAAATTTACCAACACTGTTTCTTGTATCAAATTCCCCCCCCCGCCATAATCCTTCCTTTAAGTTTGCCGCCAACTCTATCATCATCACCACCATCACAGTTCCTCCTATGGAGAAAATGGTAAGTTTAAAAGAACAATGATAAAATGAAAGCATCCATTTAAATAAACACTTTCCCAAAATAATTACCTCATTATACACAACTTTCCAATTTAGAATACTAATTCATAGGCAAAAGAAAATGTTTAAATGACATTGTTACATACAAAATAACTCTATTTGTGGACCAGACTTCTGAATCTTGGAGGCTCTTTCGCCAGCCTATAGCAGTAGCAGATGCAGGCCATAATACAGGCCAAAATCCTCTGAGCAGACACTGGGCAACCTTTCATTCTGTCTGCCATTGCAATGAACAACTATGTTGACTTACGGAACAGCCTTGTTCTATCTATGTGGAAGACCAGCACCCTCCTGACGTCCAGGGTGTGTAGCCCGTGCTCCTCATCTGACGCACAAGACTTTGGAAAGAAAACAGGCAAGTGTGTGTCCTGGCCAGTATGAAACTGGAAACGACCTGGGGCAGAAACGCTGGGTGCGGTCACAGCTGGACCTTATCCTTGTAGGAGACCGTATAGGACGGCTCTGAAATAAGAACACTGATCTCGGACATCCTGCGGGCCGACATGATCGCGACCAGGAACAAGACCTTCCAGGAGAGAGGCAGGAGAGAGAGCAGAAAGCTAGAGCTTCGATAAAACGAGATTCAGGTCCTGGGGTGGGGGAGGAAATCCCGGATGTGCGGGTAGAGACACTCCAGACCTTTCAAAAACTGTGACATGACACGAGCAAAGATGGACTGACCTTGGAATAGAGGATGGAAAGCCAAGATAGCAGCCAGGTGGACCTTGATCAATGACAGGGACAAACCTTGGAGTTCGAGGTGCAGCAGATAATCTAGGCTCTCCTGCTTGGCCCGAATATGCCATTTCAAGGCCCAGCTCATGAATCTTTTCCATTTGGCCAGGTAAGTTGCTCTGGTGGAGGGTTTCCTGCTACCTTGCTGGATACGGGCCGAGGATGCCTGTTCGTCTGTGCTTTGCCGCGCAGTAGCCAAGCCGTCCAGTGCAGCGCCACCAGGTTCAGATGCAAAAGGCTGTCATGGTTCAGTGACAGCAGATCTGGCCAAGGGGCAGTTGTAGGCAGGCGGCTATGTAAAGGCTTGGCAACGTGCCAAACCAGTACTGGCAAGGCCATGCGGGGGCTATTAGGATAACTTCCACCCTGTCTTGCCTGATCTTCACATGGACTCTGGACCAGCGGCACTGGTGGGAAGGCATACATCAGTGCCCCCAACCATGGAATGAGAAAGGTGTCTGACAGGGAGCCCCTGTCAATTCCCAGGATCGAACCGAACATGTGGCATTTTCTGTTCTGCCTGGACGTGAACAGGTCCACCTGAGGAGTCACCCACCTCTGGAAGATTATGCTGACCACCTCCAGATGGAGTGACCACTCGTGGCAAGAGGAGAAAGTGCTGCTGAGGTGCTCCACCAGGACATTCCTGGTTCCACGCAGGTGCGCTGCTATCAGATGAACGGCTTGCCGCACACAAAAAATCCCAAAGGCAGAGATCTTCTTGACAAAGGGGTGAAGACCTGGCACCGCCCTGCCTGGTGATGTAATATCATGGCTGCATTGTCCATCAGGACCTGCACCACCTTGCCCTTCAGGTTGGGCAAGAATGCCTGGCAAGCTAGAGAAACTGCTCTGAGCTCCCTGACGTTGATGTGGAGGGCCAGATCCTCCTGCAACCAGCAGCCCTGGGTGTTCAGCTCCCCAAGGCGGGCTCCCCAGTCCAGATCCCAAGCATCAGAGACCAGGGTTAGCAACGGGGACGCGAAGGGGACTCCCTCCAACACTGACCTGGGGTCCAACCACCAATCCAGGGACAACCTGATGTGGTCTGTTACCCTAACTACCCAGTCTAGCTCATGCCTGTTAGGAATGTAGACCGAAGGCAGCCATGCTTGCAGGCGCCAGAGATGGAGCTGAGCATGGGTGACCATATATGTACATGCGGCCATGTGGCCCAACAGCCGCAGGCAGGTGTGAGTCAAGGTGAGCGGGTGGCTCTTTACAAGGGAGATCAGGTCCAACATGGCCTGAAAACGCGCTTCTGGAAGGAAGGCTCTGGCTCGCGTGGAGTTGAGAACCGCCCCAATGACCTCTATTCGCTGGACAGGCGTTAAGGTGGATTTTTTTTTTCTTGTTTATTAACAGGCCCAGGTCACGACAAGTGGAATGGACCAGATCGAGGCTCCTCTGCACTTGCTCCCGAGACCTGCCCTTGAGAGCCAGTTGTCGAGATACGGGAAGCCCTGGACTCCTTGGTGTCTCAGGTAAGCAGCCAATGGTGCCATACATTTTGTGAACACCCTGGGGGCCGATGAAAGGCCAAAGGGCAGCGCTGTAAATTGAAAATGGCGCCCACCCACTACGAAACGGAGGAAGCGTCTGTGACCTAGGAATATGGAAATAAGTATCTTTCAAATATAGGGCTGTGTACCAGTCTCCTGGATCCAGGGAGGGGATGATGGAGGCCAGGGAGACCATGCAAAACTTCAACTTTTTGAGACTTGTTGAGGTGATGCAGGTCCAGGATGGGTCTGTGGCCTGCCTTTGCCTTCGGAATAAGGAAGTAGCTGGAATAGAAACCTTCTCCTTTCATGTCCCGAGGGACCTTCTCCACCGCTCCCAGGCACAGGAGGTTTTAGACCTCTTGAATGAGGAGTTGCTCATGAGAGAGTTCCCTGAAGAGAAGGGTGACCAGATGTCTCGATTTTATAGGGACAGTCCTGATTTTTGAGTCTTTTTCTTATATAGGCTCCTATTACCCCCACCCCTCCTGATTTTTCACACTTGCTGTCTGGTCACTCTACAGAAGAGGGACGGGAAAAAGTAGGAGGGAGAGGTAGCTGAAAGTTGCAGGATATAGCCCCGAGATACTATGTCCAGCGCCCAACAGTCACAACCAAGCCGAATGGTAGAGACAAAGCGGGTCTCACTGCTGGAGACCAGTGCCTGGAGTAATAGGGTGGATCCGGGGAATTGACTGGGATGTCACTCTTGAGCACATCTTCAAAATGAGCGCTTCTGGCCCCCGGGATTGCTTTGCCGGGCCGGGCTGCATGGGTGAGCAGGAGGAAGAAGGGTGGTGACAACTAAAACTCATGTCTCTATCCCTTCTCCTAGCAGATCCCTGATGGGGCTGCCAAAGCCTTCGCAGCTGGGCCGACCAGAACTGCTTCTGTGCAAACTGCAGCATATGCATGCCCAGTGAACGAAGGGTGGCCCGAGCGTCCTTCAACCCATGCAGCCTCGCATCTGTTTGTTCAGAGAAGAGACCATTCCCAATGAATGGGAGGTTCTGGATCGAAGTCTGCGTCTCTTGGGAAATGCCAGCGGTCTGAAGCCAGGAGCTGCACCGCATAACCACTGCCAATGCGACCATCCAAGCCGCCAAGTCCACCGCGTCCCACGCCATTTGGACGGAGCAGCTAGCTGCCACGTTGCCTTCCTCCACTAGGGTGCTGAATTCATGAGCCAAACCCTGTGGGAGGGACTCCTTAAACTTATAGAGGGAGACCAATAAATTAAAATTGTACCTGCCCAAAAGGGCTTTACCGTTCCGCACCTGGAATTGCAGGCTGGCAGTGGAATAAATCTCCCCCCACCCAAAGGTCCAGTCTTTTGGCCTCTTTATTTTTGGGAGTTGAGCTGGTGTGCCCCTGCTTGTCTTTTTTGTTGGCCGCACAGACAACCAGCGAGCCCAGAGCTGGGTGGGTATAAAAGATTCTTGAACCCTTTGGCTGGGACAATACTTCTTTTCAGCCCCTTTGGAGGTGAGGGATTGAAGACTGGATTTGCCAGAAGACCATGGCAATTTTGAGGACTCCATCATGCACTGGTACTGCAACATGTGCTGGGCCGTAGGCTGAGAGGACACTGAACAAGGTGTCTGCCTGCTTGGCCATCTCCTCCACCTATGGGCCCAAGTTCTCTGTCACCTATCGAAGCAGGGCCTGGTGTTCTTTAAAGTCGCCAGGCGGGCTGGCCCTCGAAGGTCCGTGACCGTCTCGTCTGGGGATGAAGTTGGTGACTGTACCAAGGGGGAAGACCCCACGGCATCTTCTCCCATGGGAGAGGGAGGTTTAGAGGTGAGTGCAGTCTCCTCTATCTCCAAGTACGACTCAAACACCAAGCCCGGTGCCGTCAATGCTACCAACTTTTGCTCTGAGGCAGCGGCAGGTGAGTGGTGCGAAGGGGGCATCAACACGACTGGCATGCCCCATGCTCCAGTAAGGCCACGCAGCCTCAGGAGTCCAATTGCACTGGTGGAGCCTGGGCGAGGGGCTGAACTGTCCTTCATGCTGGAGGAATCCCCTTCCAGTGACCACAGTGGTGCCATCGATGCCTGTATCTGCCTGCTGGGAGTCGCCGCTGGAGACTGGTGCCTGGAGTGAGAGGATTGGTGTTGATATCAAGGCGACTGGTGCTGGGAGGGACTGGAGTCGCGACAGGGAGTGCTCCCCCAGGGCAGGCAACCAAAATCTGCGCTGAGAGGATGACTGGTGGGAGGGGAAATGGAGCCAGCAATATGGAGATTGGCACCTCCCCTTAGGCAATCTGCGCTGAGTCTGCGGATTCTGTGATTGCGGTGCTGGTGATTGAGGGAAAGCTCCAGAGGATCTGGGCTGCAACTCCGGAGATCTGTGGCAAGGAGGAAAGCGCTGCCTTGCCTCGGGGGAATCGGCGGCACTCTACTACCCCAAGGGGTCTTAGTGGCTGGCTTGCGCTCCTGGGGAGCCTTTTCCATTTCCTGCGGCATGCATGGTGGGGACATGGGTGGAGGTCTCTGTTCTCTCGGTGCTGGGAGAGTTTGAGAAGTGTTGAATGCCG